CCTTCCTGCCCCTCGCCCTTTTCTTTTGTTCCCAGGCTGGTCCCAGTTGGGTCAGAGGCACCCCACAGCACTCTCGTAGCTTCCCTCACCCCCACTCCTCATGTGTACTACTAATGGAACATGTTTATGGAACATGGTGAAAAATATATGCTGGAACATGGTGCATATATGCTGAAAAATGCAAGCTCAAACTGCCACAAATTACCATAACAACATACATAACTGATCCAACAACATGCATAGATCCATACATAAAAGGTCCACGGTCATTGACATTAGTTCTTACAGCAGTGGCACATGACAACCATTAGTGGTACATGGCCATACAAAATAGGTCCTTGATCCATGACTGAATAGTTTCGTTAAAGTAGTGGCACATGATAGCCATTAGTTATACATGTCCATACATAACAGGTCCATCCAGAAAAGAACACGCATGCAAAATATTCAACACAGAAGCTTTAGTTGGCAGCCTTTGTTGGTGTGGATTTCTTCACCTTGGATGCTAGTTGTTTCTTCCTTGGTGTCATTTTCTTTGGAGCAGCTGCTGGTACTATCTCCAATCCCAACAGTTCCTCCAAGTCCAACCTCCTACATTGAACAAATAGTTAGATTTGTATTTATGGTTTTTTATCAAGTCAATGGTGGCAACAAACCTCTGGCATGGTGGGGCTGCCTCCATTGATGCTGCTACTAGGACAAGAGCCAAACATGGCGGCTGTGCTATTGCCTCTCTTGCTGCTCCTACTACTTCTGCCGCCGCCTTTGCCTCCCTTGCTGCTGCCCTCTTGGCTCTTGGTGTTTCCTCTCCCACTACTACTTCATTCCTGGCTGCTGCCCTCTTGGCTCTTGGTGTTTCCTCTCCCACTTCTACTGAATCTTCAATAGTTTTTTGCTTCTTCCTTCTAGGCTTTGTTGCTGTCTTCTTGGTCCTCTTCCTGTACACAAATATTTGTGAAAGTTAGTAATTAAGTGTGACAAGAAACAAAGGAAGTGAAAATGTAATATACCTTTTCTTGGTCCCTGTGAGGCTACACCTCTAGCTAGTTGCTCTATGGCCAAGTTCACCGCAACCCTTACATGTCACTTGTCTTGTTGGTTTGCCTGACCTCTCCAAACAGCTTAGGGTTCTATTCTTCTTGGTCCTGCCTAGTGGTTTAGGGTCCTTCACCACAGGTGGAAAAACCTTGAAACCCTTGTCTACTTTAGGCCATTGTTGCTTGTCAATTATGTGTGGTATGACTCCTGCATAAGCTGATTGCAACTTCTTCACACTGTATGCCTCATGCACATATTTGCTCATGTCTGGCTGCCTCTCAACAGTAATCACTACAAGAGCATGTGAGCAAGGCTTGCCACTAACTTGCCACTCCCTACATGTGCACTTCTGCTCTTCAAGGTAAACCACATGCCTTCTAATTTCCTCACCCTGGTACCATACAGCAACTTCAGCTTCTCTAGGATTTCCTTTGAGCACTTTTAGATGACCAAGTCCCTTGCTGGCAGCATTTAACTGATGAATTACAGCTGGTAGAATGTCCCCTGACATGGCTACCGAAATCTTCCTTCTCCTTTCCCAAAGTTCCAGAGTCTTGATCCTGATTGCATCAGCTAGTGAGTCTAATGGCAAGTCTTTGAACTCTTTGATCCAAGAATTCCAGGACTCTGCCATGTTGTTGTTTATGTAGTCACATTTAATTTCTTCTGAGAACTTGCTTCTGGCCCACTTTAGTTTGTGATGCTCATTTAACCAAGGCCAAATGTCTGACCTTCCTGCAGTAGCCTTTGCCATTAGCCTGTCAAACTTCTCCTCTGAGTATGCTCTAGCTGCTGGCCACATGTACTGACCAGCATAGGTGGAACCACAGAACCTCTTCTTCATGTTCTCCATCAAATGCCTAAAGCATTCCCTCTGCTCTACCCTGGGGAATACTTGCTTAACTGCAGCCTCTAGGCCCTTGCAGGCATCTGTGCAGATAGCCAAATGCTCTACTGGCCCAAGTGCCTTAGCCAACTGCTCCATGAACCAAATTCAATTTTCCTTGGTCTCAGACTGAAAGAATCCAAAGGCTATTGGAAACATCCAATTATGACCATCTATACCATTGGCTGAAGGCAACTGACCATTCCACTGGCCATTAAGATGAGTAGAATCTATGCTAATGTATGGCCTGCAGCCCTCTAAAAAACCATCAATCTGAGCTTTGAATGCACAGAAAAACCTACTGAAGTGAACCTTATCTCCTACTTGAACAGTGTCTATCTCAACCACACTTCCAGGTGACCTGAGCTCTACCTCTGCTTTGAATCTATATAACCAATCAAAAGAATCATCCCACTTACCAAAAAGCTTATCTGCAGCCCTCTGCCTACCATACCAGCAAGTTTGGTAGTTGATCTTGACCTTGTATTGCTTCTCAAGTTCCTTCCTCGACCGCTTTGCCCCCATTGAGGGATCATCTCTAAGCAAAGGAACTGCTCTCTCAGCAATCCAGGCCTGGGATGCCATCCTATTGAGTACTCTTGATCTAGAAGCACAAGTATGAGTATTCTTGTTTATTTGTATCTGCAAAAGAACAATGACAAATGTCACATATAAAATTCACATATAAAACAATGACAGAGATGTTTATTAAAAAACAATGGCAAGTTATTCAAAAAACAATGGCAAGTTATTCAAAAAACAATGGCAAGTTATTATACCCTGACACTGCCATCAATCTGAGTTTTTGCTCTAATAATCCATTGGCATCCTCCAGATCTACAGAAACCCCTAAACCTCTTTTTGTCTGATTTTTCAGTGCCCAACTCAAACTCTTTAACTATAGAATGTTGTTTCACTGCCATTCTAAATTCAGGCATTGATGGATAGATTTGGCCTACAGACATATCAGGATTATCTCTGTCATAGAAATACAAAGGCTCAAACTCAGCATTATCATCAACAAGCATAGCTGCTACATCCATCTCTGCTTGCAACTCAGGAGGAATGACTGGCACAGGTATCTCGGCTGGACCATCACCACCATCTACAAGATCATCTACGGCTTTGAAGCCCATGGCTTCATATATTTTGTCCTCATCTACTAAGACAGTGGCATCCCCATCTAATTCTTCCTCTTGTAATATAGTGTAAGCTGACCAATCAATTCCATGATCATCTAAGTTAGTATGGTCTGGACTGCTACAAGCATCATCAGTGCATTCAACATTAGCCTGAGCATTAGCTTGCTCTGCTGCTACACCGGATGTGGAATGAACACTATGCTCATTTGGCACATTTGTCTTTCCTGCATCCCATCTAGGTTGTCTGGATGATTCCTTGTCCCTGTCAAGCACCTCACAGTTCACATCCATTTCCTTCTCATCCCATCTGGCCTCTATCATCTCTATGAACTGCTCATCAGTAGTAACCTTCCACTCTGTCCCACTGTCTTTGTCCACACCCCAAACAAGTAACTGCTAATCCCTACCCCAAATGATGTTTGTCCTCATTTCTTCCACAAACTTAGACAGGGAGCACTGGGTGCTAAGATCAAACCACACATCATGCTCTTGCTGAACCATTTCCACACTGTCATCATAATCACCAGTGGCTGTGTATTTATCAACACAAACATGGATTCTAAAAGCATTTTCAGGATCAATCCTAGACAGAACCATAAGCACATTAAAAAATGTAGAAGAAAGGACTGCTGGATCCCAAAATCTACAGCACATGCAAGCTCGAACTTACTAAGGAGGGCTGCCAGTCCCCTTCATCTTAATGCATACGAATCAACAATAACCGCAGTGTGACTACATTGGATGTAACAAAAATAAGATTGAAACCCTAGGTTCAGCAGATTTGGGCGAAATGGTGTTCAGGGGAGTACGATTCATACCTACTGCTCGTCGTGCGTCGAAGAATGGGGACAGTACGTCGGCTGTGGCTGGGGAAGTGGTCGCCGCCGCTGACTTGACCGCCGCCACTGCCTTGACCGCCGCCGCGGCCAGAAGAAAAATGGGGGAGAGGAGGATGGAGGCGGGAGCCGGAGTAGGGGTGGCGACCTGGCCCGAGGCCGGCCTGGCTACGCCGACGGGGAGGTCGCCGGCGCCTCCTGCTTGTCTGCCGCCGCCACCATGAGGTTCAGGGAGAGGGCGCTGCGTGAGTTGGAGTAGAGTCAGGGGCTTCTCGGTCCGGGATCGGTCCTTTGCCTGGCCCAGAAAAGAACGTAAGGTGGAGGAGGGGCAGTATGGTCATTTGCCACGCCCAAATAGGGTTCCCAGGCTGCCTTCCACGCTGGCGAGTCCATCTGGCACGACACGTCGGCGAAAATGGCAAATTCGTAGGAGGCGAATTGCATGCAGTGGCAAATATGTAGGAGCACTTTTAACGCTGGCAACTGGAGGAGTGGCAACCGTAACAGTGGCAATCTAAAGACAAGAAAGCGTGTGGCCAGGCTGCCCACACGACGCGCCACGTCGCCGGCCGTTCCTGGCCGTTCGATCGGCCGCATCGACGGCCCAGATCGGGCGAGGCACGGTCATTTTACGAAAAACCCCTTATGTTTTTGGAAAATCAACCCGCGCTTCAGAGGCCCTCTCAGAATATTTTGCAAATAACATCTCAGATAATTTTCAAATCAACCCACAGTCTAGAACGGATGAGCTCCGGATTTTTAAAAAAAAAACCCTTCCTTTTATCAAAAATCAATCCGCACTCCAGAGACACTCTCAGCGATTTTTTCAAAAACCTCCTCAGATTTTTCTCAAATCAAAATACAGACCTCCCTTGATTATATTTTTTTTTAAAAAAACTACGTGTGTCCAGTTACCCGCGCGGATGGACGCGCCCGAAGAACTAGTAAATTAAATTGCCCGAGAAGCTCTCCCTCTCGCTGAGCCCACCTACTCCCACTTGCATTCACCCGACTCCGCTGCTGTCCCTCTCCCCCGCGGGGGAGCGATAAACCCTAGGCCTCGCCGTCGTCGGAGGCGGCGCCGCAGGAGGACCCGCGATGTCGCACTTCGGGAGGTCGGGTCCGCCGGACATCCGCGACACCTTCTCGCTCCTCGTCCTCAACATCAGCTTCCGTGAGCGAGACCTAACCCTAGCCCCTTCAGCGCCGCCGCGCGGGCGCCCTCTCTAATCGCTTCCTTCTCGCATTCGTCTTCATCCGCTTCGCAGGCACCACGGCCGACGACCTCTTCCCGCTCTTCGAGCGCTACGGCAAGGTCGTCGACGTCTTCATCCCGAGGGACCGGAGGTGAGGCGTCGGTTTGAATTTTCCGGGCGGTGGTTCGATGGCTGTTTCCTCAGGTTTTGTTTGTTTGTGGCTCGCAGGACCGGGGACTCGAGGGGTTTCGCGTTCGTGCGGTACAAGTACGCCGACGAGGCGCAGAAGGCTATAGATCGGCTCGATGGTGGGGGTTTGCTCTTTTTAACCGTGTTTCCCCTGTGGGGATTTTGGGCTTCTACTTGTATTGATAGTTGTGCCTGAACGTCGTTTTCTTTTGTGCAGGCCGTAATGTGGATGGGAGGAACATCATGGTGCAGTTTGCAAAGTACGGCCCCAATGCTGAGCCAATGTGAGTAGGCACACCTGTATGTTGATATCCTGTTACTTGTGGTGTTTATGTAGTTAACGTAACAATATGAACCATGTTGCTTATCTCATTTGTTGTAAACCACTCTTTATTTGATGTGACAGTAATTATATGCTAACAACAAGGAATATGATTAGGTTGATGTGTCTTGATTTTTTATTTGTCTGTGATCTTGTTGATGGTTGATGACTGATTATCTATCTCTTGTTACCCAAACACGTTTTAGTTTAATCTTCTGGCTTGAGCATACCAATAATACTAGTTATGCCTTATTTCATTTAGTCTTGATAATGTGAATGAACATTTTGGAGATTGTTTGTTCTTAGTTTCTTAGTTCAAAACTACTAAAATGAGTCTCCAGAAACAAAATCGGTGAAATTCTTATCGTTCTCTGTATATTTTTTGGATACTGATACAGAAAATAGGTTGACAGAATTAATTGTCTAATAATTTGTATGAACAGTCGAGCATTGTATTTATCTAGCTTTAAGATATATAGCTTGTTTTTTCTTATGGTAAAATTCCAGTACTCATACAATACTCATTGTGTACATCTAGTCTGCCATATGCATTCATGAGGTAGCATGTGTAAAACAGTTTGTTGAGTTAAATGCATACAATTCAAAGACAACACTTGTATTCAATCTCATGTACTAGGCTCTGTTACAGAATATAGTTTTTTTTTCTCGTTGAATTTATTATATCTCCAGAAGCTGTGTGCAAGAGACTGTACTCATCCATTTATCTTATCCTCTACTTATTTCAATCAGGTCACCATAGTTTGTCCCTGCTTTGTTTTTTGTTTTGTTTCTGTAGCCAAAAGGAAGAGTCAAAGAGGGGGTTGAGAAATCACGAGACAGGTCAAGAAGCCGTAGTCCAAGGCCAAGGTGAAGACCTTAGTTCCTTTCACATTATCTCCAGAATTATTTTAAATTGTGTTTTATGGTATTCCGCCCCCCCTGCCCTCTTTTTGCTCCGGTAACTACCCCTCCCTCCAGGCCTGTGCTGTAGTCATTCACTTCTTTCTCTGAAACTAAGTGTCGACATGAATATTGCCTTTGCTTTTGTTGCAGAGAAGCAAACTGTCGGTAGTAACACTGCTTTCACCTTATTTGGGAGAAGCATTATTTCTAATATATCAGTTTAACCAATCCTTAACTGCCTTCATTTTGATTTACTAGATCAGCAATCTAGGCAACTTATAGTGCATGTGTTGTTCTAACTAGGCACAGAGACAGAGATCATAGAAGGCGAAGTCGCAGCAGGAGCAGGAGTAGAGAAAGGCATGGCCGTGATAGAGACAGGGACTATCGTCGTCGGAGCAGAAGTAGAAGCCGAAGTCCGAGTTCAAGCCCTGACCACAAAAGTCGTCGTAGAGGAAGAGATGATGGCAAGCACAAGGGCAGGAGTAAGAGCAGAAGCAAGAGCAGGAGCAGGAGCAAGAGTAGGAGCAGAAGCAGGAGTAGAAGCCGCTCATACCATAGGTGCCTCAATACCAATTTGCAGTTTCACCATTTTCTTATTCTTAACATGTTCCCAAATTCTAATTTGATTTCTTTCAACAGTGCTTCACCTGCCCGGCGTAGTGCTAGCCCTCACAAGAGCCCACCGCCACGGAGGAGCCCCACTCCTGAAAAGCATACCAATGGAAAAGATTCACCTCTGTCACGCAGTGTTTCTCCATCACCAAAGCGTGCAAGCTCCCACAGCCCAGGCAGCGATGGCAAGGTTAGATTGGTGTATAACTGCTGGCTATGTAGTTTCTTGCCCATTCATTTCTTCATGTATCTTACTTTTGAAAGCAAATTTACGTCAGGAATGAAGCTTGTTGATCTGGTGATGCCTAAAGAACAGTACTCCCATGGGATTGCAGAACGTTGAGAAGGTTGATTGAGCACAATGGAAGTAGCAATCAACCGCTATCCAAGGTTGCTAGTTGTTCTTTTAATGGCTTGTGTTTTCCAGTTGTCAAAAATATGCTGTTGGTTTGTATTTTGACCTCTATTGTGTTTTTATGCCCCCTTGTACTTCATCATCTACTTTATTTGCATCAGTTTCTTGCTACCATCATATTAATTTGATAAAACATTTGTGCATTTTCTAGTTATCTGTTCGTGAGATGGGTTGCTGTTTACTGGTAGAATGGTATTGCACGGGACCGACTATGGTGGATGATGTCTTGCTGTTAGTCTTTGTCATTGGTGTTGATATGGCGATGGTGCAGCTGATGATGCGACGATGCCGATATTGTATCGATGCTGATGCTGATGCTGCTGACAGTGACCATCCTGATGCAGTCTTTATTTTTGTTCGAAAAGGTTCTGAATCAGATCATGAAATTCCAGATGGATCTCATGATTGGACGATTGGTAAGATTTTTTGCACAATGATGCCTTACAAGTTATGTTGGTTCTTATCCTCCCCCTTCTGGCAAATGCTTTGCATCAGTTCTAGAGTTGGAACATGGTGTTGAGTGGCAGAGATGCCGAAGGGTGTACTCATAGTGACAGTGGTACTCGTACATGGCTAATAATCTCTGTACAGGAATGGAGGTGTCAATTATGAGTAGCGTGGGTCCTGTTGATCATGTGGTGGTAGTGGTGAACCAAACTATTCTGCTTCTTCTCTATCATGTTGTTTTCATATTCTGGTAGTGTTGAGTGAGTCCTGCTGCTATCAGATGCTCTAGCTTTATTCATTCTCTTTAGCAACCAGTAATAAAATCCATGAACTCAATGTTCTTGTACCAAGGCTCATTAGTAACATGTCTTCTCTATCTGGAAATGTAGTTGTCAAATAAGGTTTGCATGGTAACGTACTAACGGTTTGTGGTAGTGTACAAGAGTACAACTGTTACATTTCGTTTGTAGCAGAGCACTTGACTATAATATTAGCTAATTGGAGCTCTACAAAGTCTCAGGTTTAAGATGTTTGGTGTATTAATAAAGGCATGTGACATGTGATAGAGGATTAACTAGTACCTCTGTACTGTAAATGTAGCTATCATTGAGACAACATGGCACAAAAATTTGTAATATTGGTTAAGTAAACTATTTTAAATAGAGGGTGTTACATAAGTATTTCCACGATGAATCTGGTAACCTCAACTATGCGAGTGGATCCATACATATGTTATAACTGGGCCAAGACAGAAGGTTGGCTTGCATTTGGAATGGTAGTACTCCCTCTCTAGCCCTATGTATTTGACGTTTCAAACAGTAAATTTAGCTTGTTTGTAGCTTCATTGTTATTAATTTGTTGGCTGAAACACCATATACAGGTGACGATGTAGTAGTAAAGCATGTAACAATAATGTATTCTGATAGTATAGCATATCACTTTGTATAGCTGAGCATCCTGCTAGGGGCTACATAATGCACAGTTGACTTTTTGGTTATTCAATTGAATATTTTTTTTGAAATATTTGATTGAATTGAATATCGTTTGAACTGGGCACACGAGGTGTGGCAACTTGTGGAAGGCAAGCAAAACCTATATGGTGCAGAGTGCAGACTGCTCACTGCAGCTAAAATACCCGCACGGCTTGTTTTTTTTTAAAAAAAAAAGTGAATAAGCCCCTACGTGTGTGCATGCATTCATTGACTAGTGGCAGCTACGAGAACTGAGCGTGCCACCATTGAGTAAAGAAAACGCGAAATATCTGTCTCGAGACGACATTAGGTTCGGACTCGGACGCCGTTCTTGCCAACATGTTTTTCATCTCTGAATGCTAGCTGTCAGTAATCTCTTACTCCGCAGGCCAACGAGCTCGCTTGATCTAAGGCGCCGTGAAAAACAGCACTCACACCACCTAAGCTGAGAACAATCGCAACTTTAAGTTGAGCGAAAAAAAAATGAACAAAACAAGCTACAAAGAGCTAGGCAGAACCGTTACATATATAAAAGGTTGTGCAGTGCAGCAGCATACATGGAGAGAGATCACCATGAAGACCTAACAAATTGATTTGTTCAACTGACGACTACCATCTATGGCCAAGGGAACTAGACAACTAGTGAAGCTAGATGACACTATCCAACCTTTGCTCCGTGCATACACTTCTGACGAATCCGTGGCATTGGCACCCAACCGTGGTCTTTTCAGTGGCCCATGTCACCGAATCGTGTCCAAATCATCATGAATGAACATGGTCGATTCGAACAACTCAGGTACTCCATTTCGATGAGTAATTTTTCTCAGCCTCATTAGTAGTTTCTGATGGATCATCAGAGATGGCTTTCTGTGGCTCTCGCCTGGTGTCAGCCTGGCTCGCTTGCTTCTGCCTTGAGCTCAGCCTCACCCTCAAAAGCAACGAGTTGGCCATCACACCGACCGAACTAAAACCCATTAGAGCTCCAGCTATTGATGGTGTCAGTATCGTCCCCGTAACTGGAAGCAATGCTCCAGCAGCAATGGGGAGTCCAACCTGCAAAGTGATTAACTATATGAGAATGCGCCAGCAGAAGTCAGAGCAGGAAGTACTGAAGTATACTTCTAATCTAAGTTGGTAATAAAAAGGTACATGTCAAAATAAATATGAAATTCAAGGAGCATTTTGGTGATGACGAGGTTAACAGCCTATACCACATTCAACGTACAGCAAACATTGCAGAATATACCCATTGGCTCACTTTTCTAGGACGCTTTGTAATATTTACAATAATAATTCCAAAATGCTCAGCAAGTAAAAGAAATTATCATTTTAAATATAATCTGTTAGATTAAAAAAAGAAGCCATCTCTAAGAGAGAAGATAGAACCATACAATATTATACAGGAAAGCCCACCAAAGATTCTGCTTCACCGTCTTCATGGTCTCTTTACTCAACTCTAAAGCATCAACAAGCTGCATCGAAGGGGCAGGTTTTTAAGAATCATACTGGTAGGGGACTAGGGGAAAAGGTATTTCATTGAGTTATACAGCAACGTCAGGTATGAAAAGGAACAACTGCAATGTTTTACACTTGGTTGCTACAGAAAATTCCAAACTGTAGTGAAAGAAATTACCTGGGATAACCTGTTGCCCAAAAGTACAACTGAAGATACATCACTGGCTGCCCCAACACCTCCACCCATTGCAATTCCAACATCAGCTGAAGCTAGTGCTGCAGCATCATTAATGCCGTCACCGACCATGGCGACTAACCTGTGCTCTTTCTGAAGTTCAGATATGAACTTCTTTTTCTCATGTGGTTTAACTTCAGCAAGAACCTAAGACATTTTCCCACATACACAGATAAGTGAACCATGCTGAAATGGCAATAAAAAAGTCATGCTAGCAAAAAACAATCTAAATGGAAGATACAGAAACAGTTTTTCCTGAGCTGCCTTTTGTGCTTCAGTCAGTTTAAATCTGATTACCAGATATTTTGTTTATCTATTTATGAACCTGCTTCCACCTATTTTTCATTTTATAAACCAATGACCTATTATATACAAATTGTGCTCTTGTTTTATTAAAATATGAAGCGGGGTTATGTGCACTTCACAAACAGACCATTTTCAAGTGGATGGTGATGTTGACTGAGAATAACATTGAAGTGATTTCACATATTTGTACTTTGGGAAGTTTGTCTTCCTAAGTTATACTCCCTCCTTTACAAAGTGTAGGGCATGGTTTAACCCGGCACAGCCTTCAACAGTGACCATTAATGTATGAGCTGCTTCCAAAGCACATGGCTTTCTAGATGTGTATGTCGATATCTAGACAGATGTATCTTATATGATAAGATTAATCGTAGGAAGTACCACATGAGTGGGTGGGTACATAGAGAAGGAATCCACATCTGCCAAAATCGATCATGTTAGGATCTTCTACAACCTATACAATTATTAGGCTAATTCTTGGTCAAAGATTAAGGAGTTTGAATCTTGGAGTGCATGCACACCTTATAAAAAAAAGGGAGCACATGACATGGCAACTTGATGACAAATGACTTTCATATTTTTCTGGTAATTCAAAACAATAGTCACTAAAATTTCTGCAGCGATCTGAAACTCATAGAATCATAATCTGTGGTGCATCTCCAAGATTGGTACAGATGATGTAATTGGTGCACATAAAAGCTAAAGAGATAGCAAGCAACCTCATAACATGTTCATTCTGGCTACTTTAATGCCAAACACCAGAGAATTAAGCCACTTTACTACAGCAAACTGGGAAAAATTACCATTCACAAGTACAAAATACAACAACAAAACTCAGTTGATGTTACCTTGTCTGCCTGGATACCAACAACAGAAGCCACATTCATAGCAGCGCTTTCCTTGTCCCCAGATAACATATATACACTAATTCCTTGCTTAGATAGAGTGTCGATTACAAGACGAGAATCTTCCCTGAGCTTATCCTCAAAACAAATAAGACCAGCCAGAGCATCATTCACTGCTATATATGCAACAGACTGGCCAAAATACTCTTTTCTGGGGAAGGGATTGTGAACGACCCCATGCCTGAAACGTTACAATTTTACTAGTGAACAGACTCCAATCGGTACAACATACAATTGCACATGACAGATAGCACTTACAGAAGGTATAGCAGGAACACGAGACGATTAAAAGTGTCTCATGTTGTTAGTGAATTTAGCACAGGGAATAGCTGTAGAATAAGAAATTCGTTTGTACCTTCTAATCCAATTTAATGTTCCGACAGAAACCTGTTTCTCACCAATGGTAGCCACAGCACCAGATCCTGGTTCTTCCATGAAGGATCCATCATTTGCCTGTGAAACACGCATAAGTAATGGGCAAAAACCAGAAAGGTAAATTTGCAACAGGTGAATAAATAGTGTGAAAAGATAAAAATATAAAATAGGTCATCCTGTTCCATAATAATGTGTCAAGAAAGTTTGGAAGAAGTCCGGGAAACATCTTATTATTGATTATAAGATTGCAGTTCAGAAAGACGTGATTATAACTCAAGTGGAGAAAACATTTATCCTGAACCAGTTTTTTATAACTTGCAGAATAACCACTTAGTTCATACTTCATACTAAGGTCATTCTAAGCTCACGCTTATTGCGCATTTCTGCTATGACTACCTTCATAACGATGAAATTGGCAGCCCCTGCAGCATCCATGATGGCTTTTCCAAGCGGGTGGTTTGTATTTGATTCCACTCCAGCAGCAAAACTCAGAATTTCAGCCTCTGTCCACTGGTTGGCCCCCAAATCCCTGATGACAGGAATATGGTTTGTCAACAAGAAAGTCTTAGAAATAATCTTCACTTTGACATCTATTAACATTAGGTTTACAGAGAAAAAACCATGAGACATATAGCACATTTTCAATGGAAATACATTGGAAACTGCATTCTGTCGCACCCTATTCACAGGTAAGTTCTCCAGAAAGATGTTCAATCAGATGTGAAGTCCAAAGTAGGTATATCAGAATAGAAACCTAGTGTAATTAAGTACAACATATAAATCCAGAGTACATAAGAGACACTCAACTTTGTATTCCCATCTCCAGTGCCTCTGGAAGCTATTACTTTAGTTACCACAGG